GATGCATGCAAATGTTACGGTATAATTTTGAATTTTGTCGAACGTTACCAGAGCGGCGGATTGAAATCTATTCGCTTCGAACTGCACTGATTGCAACGCATTAACCAGGACGGGGGTGGCGCGAATGTGTATGCAAACGAGTGGTCCCCGGCAATGGATAGATTTTGCGCGTCCAGGAAACCTATTTTGCAATTGACAATGACCAGGGTAATGAATCTTATCTAGCTAGTGTCCAACATCAAACGCACAGCATCGGTGACAGTTAAGAGGTTATTTTACCGGCGTAATAGCGGCACAAATCACACCAAATATTTATGATTCACATTCAATTGAATCGTTAATTAAAAGTTAATGTGATTATTAATATCTGTTGGATTCACTTTTTATAGAGTCATATTATACGAAAAATTTTATCTAAACCATGATCACATCTCACTTTTTTTGATAAAATTTATAACTTGTCGTTTACATTTCTGAAACTAGAGTTTAACATAAAATGTATGCCATAAATGTCAGGTGTAATTGAACTTAATTATGGGATAAAGGTGGGGAAGTTCATTACAGAATTAGAACGTCACATATTTTCACTTTTTTATCTTGTGTTCCATGCGATTACATTTTTTTTTCTTTAATGAATATTATGAGACATTACATTACAACCTTACATTAATCAACCATGCATGATTTCCTTTCACTCTTAAGAAAATAATGGTTGTTCTCAACATGAATTATTATTAGCTTTTTTCACCATGACATTGTAGCTTTCTTTTCTTAAAAATACTCACTGATAATCACAGATCGATATTCTCTTTCTGTACTCTAAGTTGATATTGATAGCAATTAATGCTTTAACAAGACCCAACAGCATTCTGTTGCTATCACCGCGCCAAACAATTTCTATCATAAAACACACTCTTTGGGCAATTATAATAATAACGATGTAGATCAGCTGCACACATCTCTACCTTTATTTGAAAACTTTTCTGAGAAAATTGCTTAAACATTTTTTATTAAAGCACAAACATTGAGTATCTCAACTGAATGAATCTTCGTTTTTCTATTTACTATTAGTACAATCGTCAGATTTGATCAAATTTGAAGCACCACAGTTTTCTCTTTACTAAAGAAGTATTGTTATATGACACGCTTTTATCCATATCTTCATAAATTCCACATTGAAAACATCGAGACATTCAACGATAATGGTTGTCTTTAGCAGATTAACTTCGCAGCTTTATGTAGTAGGTGGTAATTGTAATTAGCTGAAACAATTGAGAAAATGTCAAGTTGAGGAGTGCCGTCTCTAATTTGTCATCTTACTTTGAACACTGTCTTGTAACTGGGAATAATATTGATGATATACACCGACTCTGCTCGGAATCCTTCAGGGGATAATGATGGCAATAACGGAAACGCGACACTATTCAGGAATACGAAGAAGGAAACGTTGGACGAGAAACTACTTTATTTGCGTTCGTCGTGGGATGTCCCCGTTTATTAATAGGTTGACCTTTACAAAACTTGTTACATAGCCCAAAATAGAATAATATGGCTACACGTGATATAATCAGTCTTATCGACACAAATTTTAATGATTCGATTTCCGTTGTATCGACCTCTAATGATTGTGGAAAATCCCATGGCGGATGTATTCTCGTAACGGTTCGTAATGATATTTCGATTACTACAGTGCCAGCATTTGCGACGGGTGCAATTTATGACCGATATGAAACTACGCGGGCGATTGTTTGTAGCGTCAGTTCCGACAAGTGATCCGACTCCCTTCAGTAGTTTTTTTCAGATACTTCAAGAGTTGCGGGATCTCAAATTTGTCAGGAATCAGAGCGAAAAAATTGTTTCTTAAGTTTTCTTATTGAAGTCTAATTCAATGTAATTCAGCTTTAAACAACTTTGTGTTTTCATATGCTATCCTGCTTTATAGTTAACCATTTGTTTAAATCAGACTTTTCATTCAGTCTGTAATGTGTGCTTTACCGACATTATCCGCCATAAAACATCACGTAGTGATTGTTTTCCTGATTGGTATTCTCTGCCAACCATATATTCATCAAAGGAAAGCTGAAATCCGTTACAAAACTAGTTTGTTTCATCCGCACAAATTACTGAAACGAACCCCGGAAAATTGATAAACTTTTGCTCCCTTTTTGGGGTTCAAAATCGCTGGCATCTTCGTCATGAAGACGTTCATGAAGTCATGAATTTATTTTTTCTTACAGTTTATGACAATATTTTCTTTTTCATGTTACCCATTAATGTTTTATCAATTATTATTTATTAAATATATTATATTACCGAATTGCACACCTACCTCGGAATACCAGGAATCCGTATTTCATTGCTTGTGACGCTGCAGTGTTTCTGACAGTTTCCCAATTTCTTCCCAAAAGTCCCCCAAACTTTGACAATTCTCTCTGAGAGTTATGTATAATAAACTAATAAAAAATCTTTAGTTTAATGACATCTGTGGTTGTGTTCTCTCTTTCTCTAAAGAATTTATGTTTTATTAAGTCAATTTAGTGGTGTGAATAAATTATGTCAACAATCGATTGCAATTCGAGCATTCTTAGCTCCAGGATGTTGAGTCACAACAATGTGAGGTCCCCTACGAACATTCTTCGGCAACGGATTTATGACTTACTTGGCTCTCAAAAAAATGCTTTTTCGCCATCTTCTTCCGTTTCTGAATCGTCTCCACATACTTTCGCGTTATCTTGAGAATTAATATCATTCGGCTCTCCCAAATTCTTGTATGCTGGGGAATCTTTCTTGCCATATTCAGGAAAAGGCTTACATTGTGACGATGACTTTATTATCATAGAATTTTTGGACCATTTTAACGATTTTAAGTTTAACATTGACGCTAGCTATTTTAGGACTCATTTTATTTATATCCTTTTTATACCTCTCTCTACTGACGACAAAACTATATAATCGTATGATGTCATGACGACGCATTGCTGCTAATTAGATTTCGGAGATGGTTTCAATCAAGCTGGGAAAAAAATACTAGACGCGATGTTGAGGTATCGCAAAAGAAGACATAAACTTCTTGGAAAATACATGTTCGAACACAATATACCAGGAAGGCAAAAAAATATCAAACTATTTTACTTGATAGTCATGAAATAACTAAAATAAACAGTCGTTGAAAAAAATAACTGATCTTATTTAATTAAAATAAATTACCGATCAATATAACAATGAGTGCACTCCAATAAGCGCCTCCAGCTGGGTAGCAAGTTAAATCAACAAGTAAAAAAAGGGTGCTTATTTACACTATCGATCAACGAAGGGTCAAGCAAGGGCCGATAGCGGCAGTCATGCAAAAATGATCTCTACATCAATATTAAACTAGAACGAATACATAAATAAAACATACGTTATAGCATACAAGGTAATCACTTAGTAGTCCCAGTGAAGCAGTTTTTACACACCACCTTGGGTTACTGCAAATACATAAGTGGATAATACATAGCATATCCTTAATTTATGTTTTTCTTTAGGGTTAGTTTCTTTGTCAATGTAAGGGATTGCATTGAACATATAGAAAGTTATTGCATAGCATTTAATACCGTATTTATACGGTTTTGATGCTATATACCAGGGGTGGCCAAGCTTCTTGATAGTCCAAGCTATTTTTTAAAACTTGAATTTTTTCGCGAGCCGCAATTAAATACGTATATATTAAAAAAGTATGCAAAAAAAGGTATTAAAACAAATTTTTTTACTTAAATTATTAAAATTAAAAAGAAGGAACTGGGTACATTTATCGAGAGCCACAAATAATCCTTCAAAGAGCCGCAGTTTGGCCACCGTTGCCATATACAACTGAAAAGGTCAAAAACCAAGTGGCTGTTGATAACATATCCATGTCGAATATAGTTAGTAACACAATGTAAAATATATTCTAAAGCTTGCGTATTGGTGGAAATTTGTCTCTTTGATCTCGTTTAGTTTTATCACCAAATTTGTTAAAAAATTAAATCTTGGCTCGGTTATAATGCTTTTGTATACAGGTGATGTTAGTTTAGAAAACATTTCAGATATTGTAAGATCGGAAGCTTTCTCTTGTATTTGATGTATTTCTTCAACACTAGTTTTAGCAACATATCTAGCGTTTGAGGTAAATGTCTCCAAGTCCGAGGTGATGAAACCTGGCGTCAGACGAATCAAAATCTTTCTCCTCTTCGATTAGGGTATCTTCTGATATTTTACTTTCATATTCTGATTGTACAACATCTTCCACCTCAGAACTACCTATATAAAAATCATTGTCAGATTCTTCCATCAACGTTATTGATTGCTATATACAAAGTTGGAATCACCATATTGTACACTTGAAGAGAAAGAAATGTTAAAGTTGATTGACACATTGTCAGTTGAACTTGCACTACCTTTAAATTTTTATCCAAATTCTTCTCTAAAAGTCAACACTAAACCTGTTCCGAACTAAAATCAGTAGCGATACTCATCGCGAAATCCCGTTTATTCAGCACACTCAAAGAATTAGATTTAAGTTTGCTAAAAATTAAACAAAAATTGTTGACCATCGAGATATTAAGAGCCGTTTAAGATTATTAAAAAAAGAGAATTGTGAATTCCCGCTATAAAATATCATTAAAAAATGTATTTCGTCAAATAACATTAATTTTGCAATGCGTTTGGAATCAGTATGTACACACCCGTATGTATACCTACTTAGATATTCCCTTAATAATAATTATAACCTAAAACTCGACGCTCACCTATAATTACAACGCGGTGTATTTGCAATTAGACTATCTGTTCATCTCTTCCGTTTCCAGTTCTCTGTAATTAGAAATTAATTAATTTTACCTCAACTAAACTTTGTTGGGGTCAAAGTAGATAATTGCTATTACCAAATCGTATCTTGTTTTTCATTAAATACCATGTATTCAATTTTGGATTAATTTAAATATTATATAGTTATGGTTTTGTGTAAAGAAACGAAAAAGAAGTTTTGGTTAAAAAATGAGTTATGTATTTTATTAATACATGCTGAAATCTATTACATTTACTTACATCGTAACTTATACATTACACAGACAACGTAGAGTTTGTTTTTGATACAATTATGATGATATAAATTTAACTAACAACAACTGATAAATTGTTACAATCACATTATTTTCGGGTAAACGATTAAGTTTTATTGTTGATTAACATTTTTTTTTGTTAGTTTCGTTTTTAATATTTGTATACATATACATACAATGAAGGTATGATGTATGATATACAATGGTGGATGGTTTGATTTGCGACATCTTTTGCATATCTAGATCAAAATGAAAACGCTTAAGAAAAATCCAATTCAATTTAAAATTCCATTAGTTCGAGAGTAGGCCAGCTTTTGTTCCCGCATTATACGAGAATTTCTAAAAATTTCCATACTAATTTACATTTCTATACAAAAATTTTTTGTTTACATTCTTTTTTATAAAACAATAACAACTTCCATTTTGTGTTGGCACATACAGTAGTAATAATTCTCATCCTTATTCAATAATATATTTTAAATCGTTCGTGTCTCTTTAAAATGAATATATTTACAGGTGAAATTAAAAGATGTTCTTAAATGTTTAATTTACATCTACAACATTGTTTTGTCTTTCAATGTATCTTATTTTATCTTTTATTTTGCGTTACGTATACAATAACCTATACAATTTTATTGTTATTTATTATCTTTGTTCGTGGAAGCGTTTTGGACTGGTTGGGATTTCGACGTTTAAACTTACAAATCGCTTGTACGAACAAACCTATCATTTAGGTTTAACATTATTCAACACCGGTATTAATGTATACACAAAATTAAATTAAAAATTATAGGATAATCATTTTAAAATTAACGTTCAATTCGTTAATAATGAATACCCCCACAATTTTTAATTATTGATTTTTTAATGTAGATAGAAGTACAGCCAGTAACTGGTGGTTTTAAGATGAATTGTATACATACTTTATTATCACTAGTATTTTATTTCCGCACTATTTCATTCACTAATTGTTGTTCACTTTGTTTATATTTGTTTAACTTTGTTTATCTTTTTTATTGCTTCTCCCTTCTATGTTGATTTTTTAATTAAACACGTTAGTTTACATGAAAAACTGTCATCTAAGCCAGATTGTTAAAATCCCGTATAAAAGCCACGCTTTTAAAGGAATTCTAAATAGTTCTTTTGATCCGTTTGCTAGACCTGAGAGAAAACATAATACAAAAATTTCAACTTCATCCAACTGGAATGATTAAAAATTAAAACGACTATGAAGGGATGTAGCGAAAGGATTTCTTTTAAAATTTAAAATAATTATACTTTTAATTATATTTTTAAGTACCTTTGGTTTCTTCATCTGACGTTGTTGGAACCATTACCAGAGCCATTAACCGTCGATCTTCGGCAACCTCTACTTCACTAACTTGCCTATACAAATTATAGAGCGAAGCTATGCAACTCAATTTAATTTTTCCACTTTGAAACAATTCCGGATACGTTTTCAGCGTAATAATCGATCGTACAGTTCCTAATCCGGGCAAAGCATCGTAGTTTTCAATCGTTTGATGAATTTCAATAAAATTTTTCTGTTGGATCTGTAAAAAAATGGTTTATCTAAAAAAAAATATCATGACGATTATGATGCAATGATATATGAGGCAAACTGGAATAGCTCGTTATTTCACCCAATTCTTTACGCCATCGTTGTTCACGTAACCATGCAGTTTTTAATTTATTAGTAGTCGAAATTTACCGGTAGCAGCTATATAGCGAGGGAAAAAATGGCAAATAAGCGTCGCTTCGCAGACTGCAGCACTTTTCAGAGTCTGCAAACTAATTAGCGTAGAGAGCACCGTTACGCTAATCAGCGAAGCGGCAGAGTAATTACACCTACTCATGCACACGGGAAAGAGAGGGCATAGAGGGCGTCTCTCCTCCGGGTACTTATTATCCGCAAACATCAAATACCGGGTGACTTAACCCTCACTGGTCATTAAGTATGTAGGATTTTAACATTGTCAGGACTATCTCGTTCTTATTAAACATTTTATATCATTTTTGAATTTTCAAATGGTTGTGTAGCAATATTCAGTCTAAAATTGTTTTCAATCTTTTGCCCTTTAAGATTTAAATCCATTTCAATTGTAAATTTAACAAATCAAAAATAATTTTAATTAAGTAATTAAAGTTATCTTACCTCTTTCTCATTTATGAGCCACGTCACGTTCATGGGCGGATAGGACCCTGGAGTTGTGCAGTTCACTCTCACCTTTGCTCCAGGTGTTACATTTTGCAATTCAGTACGGAGTACGGGCCCCTCGTCCGGAATTTCTAAAATAATAATTTAAAATTACTTTAAAATATCTTACGAAGATGTATAACTCTAAATTTGAATTTTCCTTAAAAAACCTCCAAGTTCGCTGGATCACTAAATTCGATCTGTAACCTGGTTAAGTCGAGTGTTGTATCGACTTCGTCTTAAGACACAATAATTTTTGCTGATAATTGCTAATAAGTCTTCCTGAACAAACCAGGAACAGAAAGAACCAAAAGGAAAGAAAGAACCCTAACGAAGCTAGAAAAAAGAACCTAGCCACAAGGTAGAAATGCAGAAACTAATCATAAATTATAGACAAAAACAGCCAGACAGGAAATAAAATCTCTGCGAAGCTATAATGATAGAACCCAGCAACATATTAGAAACACAGAAACTAATCAAGATCTGGCAAAAAGGTCGGAAAGGAAAGAAAAGCTCGAACGAAACAAGAAGAACAGAACCCAACAACAAGGTTGAAACGCAGAAACTTATCAAAACATAGAGATAGAAAGAACCTAACAGCAAGGTAGAAATTTAGCCACAAGGTAGAAAGGCAAAAACTAATCATAAACTACAGGCAAAAAGAACCAGACGGGAAATAAAATCCCTACGAAGCAGGAAGGGAAAATCCAGCAACAAACTAGACACGCAACAACTTATCAAGAACTAGAAACAGGGAGAACCAGAAGGAAAGGAAAAACCTTAACGAAGCTATAAGGATAGAACCCAGCAACATACTAGAAACGCAGAAATTAATTAAGATCTGGGAAAACGTCGGAAAAGAAAGAAAAAACTCGAACGAATCAAAAAGAACAGAACCCAGTAACAAGGTAGAAACGCAGAAACTTATCAAAACATAGAGATAGAAAGAACAAATAAAAGGAAGGAAGGAAATAAAAAACCACAACGAAGCTAGAAAAAAAGGAACCTAGCAGCAAGGTAGAAACAAAACGTTTTCAAAATATGTATCAAATCAATTGATAGTAGTATGACTGTGAAAACCAGTAAAATACTGAACATTGGAAATGTACTGAAAGACGACATCACATAGTACAGTACATCAAAATTCATGTTTCAACATTTTTTTCTTTCAATTCCTTCATGGTCACCAGATGGTTTACGCAGCTTTATGTTCACTCAGATGTTGAATACACGCATTAAAAAGTTGTAGTGCAAAATACTGGTGTTAGGTCAGAAAATCGAGCGACTAGTCGATAGGTCCACGTCCTTACCACATCCGTATATTGAGGTGAAACTTCATTCTGTTGCAAGACAATCCAAAGAAAAATACAGTCAGTACTAAATCAAATATGTTGCAAATATATTGATGTTCGCTTAATTGTTTTTGTCATTTATTCACAAAATTCCATTCGGTGAATAATCACGCAAATCGATCTCTTCTTGCGGTCTTCTACACTTCCGGTCTCTAAAAACTTGTTTGAAAGTTCTCGTAAATATTTTCGGTTAATGGAATTTTCCGGAAACCGTTCATTGAACACTCTTTCTGTTTCATGCAGGTTTCGATAGCCTTGGGCGAACATCATAATTACTTCTATTCTTCACTTTAAGCTTTAATTTACAATTTTAACAATTTTGCGATCTCGCTTCAATAGAGATAGAATAGTTGGGGATCGATATCTCGGCATCCATTCGATGAAGAAACCCGCGGTAAAGTTCGTTAAATAGGATAGTCGAAATGCCCGATTCAATCAAAAGCTTGGGCCTCGTTGAACACACGTCGAAATGCCCGATTCGATATATGCAAAAATGTTGAGAACACAATTACCTCCTTTATTAATTGACCAATTTTAGTTATGAGCATATTGATCGAAATTCTGATCCACAATGAATACGGTGGTGGAAATGCGCGACCTCAAAATTCACAAATTAATTACGTACGGTTGTGTAAACGACTCAGCGATTCTACCGACTGGAAACAAGTACCAATTAGAAAAATCTAAAAGAATTGTATTGATTATGTTGATGAAATTAATAATGCTGTTAATAACAATGATAGAAGAATCAAATTACTTAAATTAGATTACTCAAAACACAACTTGTTTTGAGTAATTAATATTTAATGATATGTTTTGATTGTGTCAATTAATTTAATTGAATTGAGGATGCTACAGCTGAAAATGTATTATACATTTTACTAATCATAAATCATTTCTCATAGATGAAATAATTGTGTATGTCGAATCCCGGTAACGGTTTTCCAAAATTAAATGTTCCTAATTTTTCAGACTTACTCACGTAACAAGTCATTCATTTTAGAGAAATCGAATTAATCCAAGCCTTACGGTGTGACGTGAAAGTGTAGCAGAGGTCACACCCGGAGAGACAAAAAGCGGTGATTGATGGTCTGCTACGGAAGACGATTTTGTCGAATAAAAAATATATACTTATTAGAATGTAATAAAAATCACTCTGAAGATAACTGCGTTTCGTTTTGGTCAAAAAATTGTGTCGACCACATCGTCATAACATTCTCTGACTGTACATTTTCTTGTCAATCCATACTCCAGCTTTGGAAATTCAAATTAATCCTAACAATTTTCAAACAAAACAAGAGTTTTGTTCAAATTACAGAGATCAATACAAAAACAGCTCGCATTCACATTCTAGAAACCGATTATCCTTGCCTTCTTCGCCGTCCAAACTTTGTTTTATCATGACAAATATGGCCATAAAGCGCTGAAATGTTCTGGGCCGTGTTATTTGCTCTATTTATTTTTTTTTATATCAACAAAAACATAATTAACACATAAAAAACCAATAAAAAGAATAAACGTTTTAAGGAAAGGATGAATTATTTCAAATTCTTTTTTTTTGTTTCGAAATACTTCAAGTTGATTTTTTAGCTCATTAGTTAGTCAATATTAAAACTAAATGTTTGACAGATTTAATGACTCAAGTACAAATCTTATTCGGGTGATACACAAAATATGTTCAAATACTTAGTGTAATACTCTATGTTTATACCAAAAATCAACAAAATTTGATTCTCGGAAACTTTTTCTTGTTAGTGAGCCACACGATATCAAACTCAGGTTCACGATGTTGTTATGTGTCAATAATGTCACAAATGATGTCATTAACATAATCACTTCTTTCTATATTCGTGGCACTTTTAATATGATAAAAATTTTACAGTGCGGATCAAGATGAATTGGTAGTCTTCTGTTTATCAGCTGATTAAAGATGTTTGTTGAGAAAATATCAAAGACATCCTGAATAGAGAGGCTAGGAGGCAAACCTGGAGACAGAACGAATTTCCAGAATGCTGATTCAGGAAATTATACTTGTTCAGCTTCTAATACCGAGCCAACATCGATGTGTGTATTAAATAAAACTTCGCCAACCTCTTCCACCTAATTTCTCAAGAATAGAGTACTTATATTATCTGAAAATAAACTGACTGAATATACATTTCTTCAACACAATTGATAAATTTAACGAAGTCTTTTTTAAGAGCAACATTTTCCGCGCTTAACCTCTATTCATTTAAACGGTACCAAAAACGAAGCAGAACTCCAATCTGGTTCCTGATAGAGTTATCAAACTTCTTCAGAGCAAATTGTATAGAATCAATAATCCTACCATACTTGTAGCTAATAGATTTAGCTCCATAGACATTTAGCTCCTATGTGGCTATGTTCAAGCAAAAGTAGATTTAAGGGTGACTACAAAGCAGCAGTGGAATTCTTTGGAATATCCTAACATATAGTCACACTTAATACCAGGTATGCTTCTCTATACGGGTTGAACACTTGAACTCTGTACTTTACATTTGCTTGCTTAAATTTAACTTTTCTGCTAGTACTTTTCGTTTATGAAAACGTTCTTAGTGTTGTTCGTAATAAGCAGCAAAGATTTCATGTCTTATTTTCCGATTTAAACTTCCATTCAAGCTGTAGATCCAAGCTTCCTTGTAGATTTAACAAAGTTTGTCAGAGTTCGACTCTATGGACTCGATAATCCCATATACTTGCAGTTAATAAATTACATATTGTTTAGCGTATCACTTTAACGTATCTATGTTAACAACAGATTGAAGGGTGACATGATCCCCAATCAACACTAGCTGTGCTTGTATGTATGAGTTGCCGACACTTCCCACATAATTAATTATCCGATAACGACATAAAGAAAAGTTTTTGTAACATGCGGGAGGAACAAAATCGCCCCTATAGAACCACGAATTCACGAAACTAAATAAAATTTACCAACAAATTCACTATAGATTAAAAAACAACAACAAAATACCAAACGTAGGAATTTAGTACTCAAAATCCACTAATAGGCAGCAACACTAATAGTAAACCCAATCCAACAAAAAAAATCGAACAACTCCACCGAAAACCTTGTTTCACCACGAACTTTACTACAACCCAAATGCACCTCTATTGTTTAATGACTGCTTATATCTGCTTTTTAGTTTTCCTTGTATTATTTTCTTACTATGTTTCGTTTAGTAGAACTTTTCTAATGTTCTCCGTGAAAAGCAGAAAGATTGCATCTGCCTCCGCTTTATTTTTAATAATTTGGAAAGATATGATTTCTCTTGGAAGATATCGAATCTGACTATAACTTGATTTAATTACCTTTTCTGATATATAATAATATATAGTAATTGTTTCATATTGATTTTCATTTGGTGTGATTAAATATTAATTATTCAAGAACAAGAACCGAAAAGAAATGCAAGAAAATTTTCAGCAACAATAAGTTGTAAATGTAGACACTCTAATAGAAAGAGGAAAATATGCGCAGCACCTGCAACAACACACGGACCGCTACTGCTACATCTGATGACCGTAATAACGATAACCTAGATAGAGGATGGTATCCGAATCATTTCGCATAACGCGTTTCGCGGGAAAGAAAGTCGTTAAGAAGACAAATGGTTCTTGTCAAATTTGCATCCAAGGTGAATTAATATAAAAGATGGGGTGATATTTAATGTTTTCTTCTTCCCCCTTTAATTCTACTTTTCAGCATACCATTACTGTTAACGTTAAAAAATCTGTTTGCTTTATTGATTTTTCTTTTCCAATATATTATGAAAAATGTATACAGAAAATCACGATTTATTTAATCTGTGTTGTTAAGGAAGTAAAAAATGGCTAAAGAAATACATAAAATTCCCAAACTTGTTTGATATTCTGATTGTTTGTATCCTATATTGTTAAAGGAATCCTATTTGGTAACAAAGATGAAGATACTTACCAGCAACGAGCATATGTGCTGAACGAATTTCCGTATGAAAGAGCGGGGCATCGGCGGAGACTTCACATTTATACGTTCCGGCCGTCTCCCTGACTACTTCAGTTAAGGTTACCTCCCGAGCATTCGATCTTGACATCTGCAACGAAATGAATAAAAGACTTATTTTCGTCCTTTGAAATTTTCCATACGATCCCATCTTCGTCATCATAGATCGGAATAAATGCCTTTCGCAGAAGTAATCAAATTTTATTTTCACATAAACGTTTAGAATTATGAAGTTTTAAATTAATTCAATTTTGTATAAGTTTAATAAAATTAAACGGTTAACATTCGTATTACTCCATTGATTATACGAAAATATAATTTCAACCGTTAATTTATTTTCAGTTTACGGTATGCTTGATAATTTTGGATATAATATCCATGCAAAAATAATATTCACTAATTGAGTCAGTTGCAAACTTTCCCATCTAACTGCAAAATATATTTTAATAACTCTATTTTACTCGTGAACTGTAATGAATCATTCTGATAGACAAATGTATAAATCATATCTGTTACGTTTATAGCTACGATTCTGGTCTTTGGTGAATGTTAATACATAGGCGATAACGTTTCATGTTTACTACCAGCCCTAAGGTATATTCGGGCCAATACAAGGTTTACACCTAACATAACGTTGCTACCCATGAAATTCAATTATGCTACACACAGTCACACGTTCCAGAATATGCACACGTTCTCTAAATGGCTTCCAGATAACTTATTATTACACCTTACATTATTCGATTAATTAATAAGATTTTAATAATTGGATATAACAAGACGTGCAAAATAAGTAAATATAAATCAATTTTGTTCGATAATAAATTAACGTGAGTTATACAAAAGTTTGAGTCGAGGGCTACTTAAAACTTATCGAATTTATGCAATCAAGTAAATGCTTTAATCCCGAAATCGATACGGTCCCGGCAAATCCATGCCACCATCGTTCTCGTCGTATTGAAAGTTTAAATTTATAACTTGATTTACCGCATTATGCTAACAAACGCGGAGATTCGTCCGCAGTACCAGGAACGTTACAGTGAGAGAGGAAAAAGTGGCGAAAATTTACATAAATTAAGGCGCGCCGTACGCCGACTGCATACTTTAAACCTTCTTATACACTCTAGCATTGGGTGGTTGCTTGGTTGGTTGGGTTTTCCATTTCGCAATTTGCTTTTGAATTACTAGTGGGAAAAATCATTTCATGAATTTTTCAGTATCACTATATCTGATACTAAACACTAAAATTCAATCATACCAAGTAAATAAAATATTTTTAGAACTACAGTAAAACTTCGATATATCAGACTAATACGGGGAAAGGAGTGTTCTTTATAGTCAAAAGTCCTTCTAGTTCTTGGTTTAGTGTTAGTACTAGTTTTAGTTAATAATAGCTAACACTGAATAGTAACTAAAACTGGAACTAACATTAGCATTAGAACTAACACTAGAACTAGAACTAGAATCATTCTGGTTTAGCCATGTTAAGAGACATATGGCTAAATCTAAATGATTCTAGTTCTAGGTCTAGTGTTAGTTCTACTTTTAGGACAACAAAAATATACAGCAATCTAAAGCTGAATAACAATTAAAATTAGAACTAACACTAGACCTAGAACTAGAATCATCCGGGTTTAGCCGTCTAAGAGACGTACGGCTAAATCCGAATGATTCTAGTTCTAGGTCTAGTGTTAAACTAATACTAGCATTAGTACTAACACTAAACCTAGAACTAGAAACATTCGGGTTTACCCGTGCGATTCTATCAATGAGCGCTGACATTTATATTTAAATATACTGATGTATTAAATGGATAATTTAATTCAGTTTTATTGTACACATATTATAAAATAAAAAATGTATAAAGTAAATTGATATGTTGACTTCTTGTGGTAAAACAATAAATAATAAAGCCATTAACTTACAGTATAAAATTTATGACGTGACGTTAATTTATAGACCAATTAAAGTACCCTTTTAAGAAAAATGAGGTGTTGTTGTAAGGTTTTGTTATTAGCGGTAGTTCGGTTCTGGTATTCATTAATTACATCTTCTTTTGATGGAATTAGTTGCATTATTTTATCCCGAGACCCTCACTTACACTGACGGAAGCACTCGGGATCATAATTGTCTCTTCTTTAGAGGGCGGACAAACGATAAATGCGTTTTCTCTGACGGATTTTCAACGGTTGTCGCGCGTTGTAGCCCACCCAGTAATTAATTAGCCCCGATAAAACGAGCGGACCGTTAAAGTTTCCGGTCCACCTATAGAGAATGGTAAAATGAAAATTAAAGGAGATCGATGAGAAATAAGAAGCCTAATTAAAAGTGAACATCAGCAAGTCTTAAGATGAAAAGCTTTTCATTAATAAGCTTTCTTGTATAATAAATTGGTGAAGTTTCGAAAATCTTTTTTATCATTTATTGGGATACAATAAAGACATTTTTAACACGGTATACATTTTATGCTAATCACAATCACGAACACGATCTCTCTATTATGTTTAAGGATACACAACATTATCACAGACCACGGTGGTCTTTAAGTAAACTACACGATATAACGGTAGTTTAATGATCTCGCTCGATAGAAGGAAGGGTGGTGGTAACAGAATCTTAGTACTTACATCGACAGTGATATAAGGTATCGGGAACACTTTGGACGGTGGAGATTCCTTCGGCACGTATCGATAGAACTCGATGTCGTACTTGTACCACTTGATGGAGTAAAGGGCGACATCTTCCAGGTCATAGTAGCAGGATAATGTCACGGTGTCTCCCATTCTGACGACTTCTGGTACTCGAATATGCATGTTTCGGAGTGCAAAGAAACCTGAAATAAATTCAAAAACAACAGTTTTCTCTTTGTCATATTTATGGATATGAGTAATGAAACAAACACGTCGAATTACAGGTGATGTAATCGTACTTTCAACAATAGATCAAGTGGTAAACACCACTAATTGGATTTGACTGTTAATGTAGTACCTTGGTATCGAATACGATATTTGGTCTTCGATTAGAATTGCATCGTTGTTTCTCGGCAAATAAGCACACATTCCAAGTCAATAAACCGCTTAATTATCATTTCACCATATCAACAACAGTTGCACTTGATGTAAACTGAATTTGTACTGCTTAGATAATAAATCATACTAGTGAACAAATATCGATTGCATGTTAGAATAGAATAGTGATATTTAGAATACTATTGGTATAGTAATACTCATTACTTTTCAAAGTAATTTAAGGTGTAATTGTTTATTTAACGCTTAACCCTTTGTTAGAGTGTTTTTATACAAATAGAGATTGAATACAGCGATAATTATTAATTGAAGAGATATCTCATAATTTTACAAAATATACAAAATGATTGACGATATGGTAACATGGTGTATTAATTAAAAATGTTAATCAAATTGGAAATATCTTGATATGCGTGCACACAACGTCGGTTCGCATTTGCGTTATAAACTGCAGTAAATTATGCCAGTATAAATCCTGCATACATTAAAGCTTCGACTACCGTTTCCGTGTTGTCAAATAATACGGCGTTGGATTTAGCAATAGCAACAACGACTGCGGTGCATTAATGTGTACGTACCGTGATGGTGTAGCCAAAGAATAAATGACAGTAATATACTATCGGCCATGTTATCTGACTAAATAGTAATAATTTAACAATACACACATGCTCAGTACAGATTTTGTTTATCATTTATATTACATATATAGATTATTTTAAAACAATGTTTAGATATTATAAAAGAACCTTATCCGAAAATAAAGTATAGAGTATTGACATACTTTTAAAACGGAGAGTCTTTGCGTTGTTATGATGTATCTATATGTTATGATGTATATCGGAATTTTGCATTTACTAATGAGCTGTAATTATGTTTCGTAGTACTTTATAATGAAATATTTGAGTACACTTGATGCCAAGTTGTTGGTACATCACGATCTAGGCAACAAGGTTTTCCTAGTTGCATACTAGGCAATCCCCGAAATTAAAAGTTATTTCGGACTTGGTCAAAAATGCTCGGGCAATATGCGAATTGCCTAGTCAATCTTAGGTGTGCCAGCGTAACGGAGATTGCCGGTAACATATGAAAAAATCAGTATGAAATGAACACAAAACATTGTCTTCTGTCCATAGCGATTTGGCCTTGCAATAAATGTTGATGGTAACCACAATGTTTTACACTTGGGATTCTCAAAATATAGTCACTTCTCATCTCCAGTCGCAATTCGATGGAATTGACTTTCTGTCATATCTGACGAGCAGCAAGTGGTTCTACAGTTTTCAAAAAAACTTTATTATTACAAATTTAGGGCATGAAGAATGTTCAACATGTGAATCAATTAAAATACAGCCACTTCAAAAAACAATCTAAACACTTTTGTGACATTTGCCAAAAATTGGGAAATACACAACGATTAGTATGTAGAGATTCGTTAATTATATAAGAAGCACGCAAAAAGGATTACGTTTATACATTACCACATCGTACTCCACTAAAGTTTCTAATCGCGATCAAATTACGTTATAGAAAAGTCTATATAAAGTGGTGCTTCAGATTTTGAGTTGAATACCTGCCCCAAGGTTTAGAGGAAGGTATTTATTTGGTAAGATTTACTACGGCTTTACGGTGGAGATGATAGGGGTTATTTGAGGGCGTCTCTAGTTCATTAACTTCTACTTACCTTGTGATTGCATCTAAATTCTAAGACGTATTCAAACGTACTAATTAAAAATTGGTAATCTCCTACAATATTTATTAACCCCTTACGTAGTTAACTGGAATTAAATTTAATTGAAAATAATATAGATTTGATAGAATATAATAATTTCAATTGTTATACTTCATATTTCAAATGTTTGGTAAATATAAAAATTAAATAAATAACTTAAAAAATATTGAGCAATTACAAAATGAGGTTTGACCTGTTTTAATTTCTTAACTAGATTAATTAGTTGGCCTTTCATCACTAAAAATGGATAGGTAATTGAGTTGAAGTGACCATAACACACTTACTAACATTGTGTACGTTAATAGAGTATACTAGTTTTTCACTACATAGATATTTAACAAGTACCGTTAACAATTACTACTTATATGATTAGAATCTGAGGATTAATGAAACTGACATATCTCAATTTCTTATAAGTCTCTTTATAACAAGGATAAGAAAAGTGATATCTAAATTTATGTTAATTCTCAAATTGTTCTGATAGTATAATTCTATCAAATGATTTTTCAACATTTTAGAAAAATACAACAAATGAAAATATGATACACGAAGTTAAGCCCCGAATCGTATGGGGTTTTGCATGTACAGTGTTTTAACCGATTTGGATGAACAATACCTTATTCGAGAGCTTAATCCTGACCAATGCAATAGTGGAAATGCTCGATAACGGAATTCGAAATCTCTTTAAAATTCCACTAAAACGCCAAAATAACAAGAAACCATACGAAAATAATGCCAAAATGATTTTTATAAGTGATCATACTTTGTAAAGATTGCAGTCGTTTATATCAAGACCTATACGTCATACAATTCGGCATTTCTTCAATCGAAATTACTCTCAGAATGTCACCGAATTCGGCTACTTGTTTGTACACGCACTGAGGCTGGAAATAATTAATGTTGATTAAACCGCTTATAACTAGAGTACCCTTTGACGGCTCTCTGAATACGATTGCTGATATTTCCGATCTCAAAATTCGCTAATTAACTGCGTACGAATGTTCAAATAACTCCGTAACTCTATCGATTGAAACTCTAGCCCTCAAGTATAAAAAAAATTAATTGTGTGTAAATAATTTAGCTTCAGAAGAAAGTAATGTTACAATGTTGAATTCGAAAGTTAAAAGATTTATGTTAATTAACTGGATGAAATTGATAATGATGTTAATAACAACCGGAATATGTAAAAATTGTAATAATTATACACATTGCAACTAAGAAAGTTACAAAAATTAAGAGTATCAAGCAAATAAAAAAATTCGAAATCAGTACACTGTACAATTTAGAAACATTATGTAATGTGTTTTTATCATGACTATCTCTCTCTTAGTGTTCATTAAAATAATTTAGATTTGTAATTAAAAGATACTTTTATTTGCTACCTTGACCATTTTACCTTCAATCAGTTTACTTTCTCATCCAAAGTATCCTTTAGGTTGTTTTTGATTTTGGACGTTGTTCAAGATGCTCTGGCCAGGCAAAAATTGTTAATCAATCATGAATGGTATACATAGGAACATAGTTTTTGGCAGTCTCTAACGCACAAGCTCAATTTTGTATACTTCTATGTAGGTATAACCGGTTTTGAGAAACTTTTGCTGGAATACAAGTATCACAAAATAGCGCCAGCTTTGTACGAAGCTGATATGTATATTAATCAATCATGAATGGTATACATAAGAACATAGTTTTTGGCTCTTTCTAAGGCACATACTAAATTTTGTATACTTCTATGTAGCTATAACCGCTTTTGAGAGACTTTTGCTGGAAAAAGTTGGAATTTTGTGTACTAGCAAAGTGCTTATATTTTGGCTTCTATTCTGACTAATACAAGTATCAGAAAATAGCGCCAGCTTTATACTAAGCTGATGTGTATATTTGCATAAAAAGAGTCCCAATTTTCATACTGGCTCTTAGTATTCAATTCTGATCTCGCATAAAAGAAACCAAGATTGGTTAAAACTAATTCATATACGATAAGATTGCACATGCAAATTTTCGAGATTCGGTAAAAAGAGAGATAATCTTTACGATCGCAGAAACAGTAAATTAATCAAGGCAACAAGTAGAGTTAAGATATAAAAGCTATAAAGAAAAATATAACGTAGAAAAAGGTTGGATGAATTAATTGAGGCGATAAGAGAACCTATGGTGAAAACAGAATATATATACATGTAACAAATGATATAAAGTGAGCTGTAGGATAGGGAATGCAACCCGGGAAATAGGGAAGCAAGGAAAGGCTTAAATTGTGAAAAAAAGCTCAGGGATAAAGAAACCACATTCGTGAACCCCAAGTCTCGTGCAGCATATGAAAAAAAATGACAAATCTGATAACTTATTTTAAGAGACAGAGTTTGATGAAAATGTGGGGAAGGTAAAGTAAGCCGCAAACGAGATAACATACTATATATTATAATTTGGGTATATATGCATGTTAAGAAGATTATAGAGAAGGAGTAGGGCAGTGAAAAGTGAGGAGGATTAAAGAAAGTAACTACACCTAAATATATAACAATACTCTTTAGACATGAAAAAACCCACGGAAGCGATATAAAGAAAAACGACATGTTTTATTAATATTGAATAAAGTAAAGCAAAATACCCGTCGTATTCAAGCTCCCAATATTAATACACGTTCGAGTGTTCAACTTCTTACCTTTTCTCTGGATATCTAGAAATTTCCGAGATATAAGAATGGTCACACTTTTCAGACTGTGTACATAAGGTTTTCGGTGACTCTTTTCTTTGTTTCTTATTTATATACAATGCAAATTGCAAATTGGATCGTAACGTCGTGTTTTTCTAGAGGAAACACAACGGATCTGGTAATCCCAGAGTCTGACACATATATAATTCAGAACAGTGGGAGTATCAATTATTCAACTTCGGGGTTCATATATTTAGGTGGATGCCTGACGCTCCAGGTCGTAAATAAATTAACTTCAGAAAAGATCGCTATTCCGTAGGATCGTATTTTATTCCGTGAAGTGCACACCTAGAGATTTCGGAAATACTCTTATCGCATGACAATTAAATTTATATCCCTTTTAACGAATAACTAATTATTTGTTCGAA